TGTGGTCTGATCTAGATAACTCGGAATAATGACAGTGACGATTCTGGTGAAGTTTGCCATTTACGTTGGCGCCAGATGATTGATTGACATGACTGGATACTGACAAAAACAGCCGCTGATCCTGCTGTTCAAATGTGCCTGCTGATGCCCAGACCAGTGTATACATGAAGTGGTTCATCTACAGTTTCCCGTTCCTGGAAAATCAACATCGCACGTGGTTGTAAAACGTTAGTTCTATTATGAACGTTGGTAGCTAGCGAGAAAGGCGTTTATGTTTGATATCAACCTTGAACTGCTAGGAAGTTGCGAGTTTCTAGCTGAATGTAATAATCGCGTCAAGAAAAGGTGGGAAACCTTCTCAGGTATGACGATTTTTTAAGCCTTAATTCGTAGATTTCTATCGCACTGTGTTTCATAGGCAGAATATCTTGTAGAACCTTTCCTAGAAATCTCGTACCTTGAAAGTTTACTGCAAAACTTCATTACTTGGCGAGCAAGCTGTTGACTAGTCCTTCAACCCTTTAAATTCGTACCTCTTGATAACAAATACCGTTTTTCGCCACATCTAATCTACCAGGCAGTAAGATTTTCCCACTTCTGTTAAATCTAATAATCAAGTGAAAAGCAAAATAGATCAAAACCGCAAATAATCGACTACATTGCATGTTTCCAGCCGTTGACGTGACAAGCATGTCCAATCCCTGAGTGCTTAATTACTGAGCTTGAGGAAGTAGTTTTTTGAGACGGTTAGTTTTTCCAGTCTCCTAAATCTTGAAACTGTAACCTGATAACAAAAAATTCTTACTGTGGATATAAGCATCGCATTCTAACCCTTTCGGATAAAGTTCCGTCAGCATTGTAAGTCGTCTAACCTCAGCTGAAACTACCAGATATAGTTTTGCACGATTCAACTGAAACAGAATCTTCACGCCCATGGAGAGAGAGAGAGAGAGACAACAAACTGTCATTTTCTACTGTCCGGGATTCATTAGTTTGTAGCCAGCTCTAGAATTTTTAACGTCGTTGCCCTAACTGACGAATGTTCCAATAAGCAAACAGTTAGAGCTACTCCAAGGTCATAGATTTGAGATGAATGTCATCAGTAGTAAAAACAAAGGACTTGGTATAAGTTGACTTCTGGAATTTCCAAAACTTTGGACTACAATAAATTATTCAACCAGAATAAGACTTATGCAGGGAAAGAATTGAGTTGATTGCGGATTGGATCGTTGGTAACGCCCAGTCTTCTGTACTATTTGGTATGTGATCCAGTTTTTCATTTCATATTGAAGCCATTATGAGGTCAAAGGGTCTAATAACGTTGCATTGCTTCGCATTCATTGTCTGTAGGTGTAGGAGATACAAGTTGTTGGCCGACAGTGATGGGAGTGAGCTCGAAGATGAGGAGGCTGGATGGAATGGGGGCCCAATTGAAGTTAGATATGAATAAGTAGGGTTCACAGTGCTTGGAGAAATTTGATCACAAATGGTTTGATTTTGAGGTCTGAAAGGAATGTTTGAATAAATGAGGCTCTTAGAAAACTGAGGACTAATACAGGAATCCGGTTGAGTAGATCGCGCGGGTGACAATTTGGCGGGGGAAAGGAAGGGATGGGGCAAGGAATTTGTAAGTGCAATGGGCTTGGATTGATTGTCAAAGTTGTAGTGTCTGTGAGAGGATCCTGCCAAACAAGGGACGAACGGATTCAACTTCAGGTTGTCTGTGGGAGGAGATGAAATGAACTCACCTCTGCTGATTTCAGGTGGGGCGTTGCCAAAAAAAACCGGTGAGTTTTGTGGGCCGCAGTCAGGTAGGGCACCTTAAATATAATAGTTGAAAAATAAATATTGTGAGTAAGCAGTTTGCAACAGATGTCTTGGTAAAAACACATTTGTACGGATCGACGACAATATTGGTGTGTCAAGAGAAATTTTTACAGGGACTGCCATAAACGAAAACATTCCTAGAGATATGAAATCCCCAAGTTTGAGCATCCCTGGGTGTAACTTAACCCGGCACCAACTGCCAAGTTGCTTCAGAATTCCGATCAAATCGTCTCAACAGTTTTAGCGAGATATCAAACGAAAATTATCAGGACGCCTCAACGTGAAAATATGATAACATTGCCTGGTAGTATCAAACGATGCATTTGGACCTAGAAACAAAACCACTCAAAGAAGGATGATTATCACTCCTGCAGACTTCCCATCTACCCAAGTGTGAACTATCACACTAAAATGAGACGCAGATAGAAACTTTAACAAGCAATAGTTAACAGTGATGCACTGGTTGAAAAGTCCATCGATTAGAGGCCGCCACTACGCTATCAGTTTAGCTCAGCGGGGCTTGTCCTGTAAATCGTAAGCACAGGTTAATCACTGGCCGACGGAACCACTGGCAAAACGTATTTTAACAGAATGGTTCTCTAGTTTCAATACCAGGGTCTCTGGGATGGTAACCATCTTATTTGTTCCGAACTGGTTTGTTGCAGTTGTAACCTCAACAGTTACTAACCAAAGTTAAAGTTGTGAGGTAGTTCCTGACCATCAGAACACAAGTCTTTGGGTACATCACTCTGCTAATGTTGCGGAAAAATCCTCGATCATCTACAGCTCTTACCGCTCTCTTTAGAACTCATCATGTAGGTGCAGCTCCTAGGCTTCCTTTCATCTTATTTTATACTCAAATACCAAATTGTATGTAGCGGGGTAAGTATGTTCATTTGTAACTTAAATTATTGTTATCGGGGAACTCATTTAAATCGCATTCAAATTTGTTATGACAGTCCAATTTTCTTAAGAACGACAGAAGTAGATGGAACATTTTGAGCGGGGATAACGGGAATGTGGTGTAGGCTTTTTCGGCTGGGTTATTTGATTGAAGAAAATTATGACGTTTTCCTGCCTGCTGTGTATGATCCTTTCACTCTAAATCTTATGCAGATGCATACAGTGCAAATAGATTCGACTGAACATTAGGAAACTCCCGCCAATGTCGAAGGGGATGTGATCTTGGAAGTCTAGTTTGACAAAAACTCGTTCATATCCAGGTGGACTTAGATGCATACATTCCTGGTGTTGCTTTAGTCACTTATTTGAATGGAACTCTCTACCAACCTGGTTTGTTTAGGACAATGAGTGACTTTTTATGTCGTGCTTTCATGGATATCACTAGTAGTCAGAACTTCAGATATAGTTGGGTAGAGGGCCCATTCCGAAATTCACTGCAATATTTTCAAAAGTAAATTTAATTTAAACGAATTAGTTTTTTACGCTTTACAAAGCTTTTCCTAGTCGTAGCAGATGTTTATTTCCAACCCATATTTGAAGGCACTAAGCTGCCAAGAATTTATTCGCAAAACTCCTACTTCATAGAAATTTGGCAGACTGTTTTTGCCCGAAAACCCCTCATGCGCAATAAGCACCCATGAATTGCTGAGCGGTTTGTATATGCATGTATGTATCTATGCATGTACTTATATGTATATGTATATGTATATGTATATGTATATGTATATGTATATGTATATGTATATGTATATGTATATGTATATGTATATGTATATGTATATGTATATGTATATGTATATGTATATGTATATGTATATGTATATGTATATGTATATGTATATGTATATGTATATGTATATGTATATGTATATGTATATGTATATGTATATGTATATGTATATGTATATGTATATGTATATGTATATGTATATGTATATGTATATGTATATGTATATGTATATGTATATGTATATGTATATGTATATGTATATGTATATGTATATGTATATGTATATGTATATGTATATGTATATGTATATGTATATGTATATGTATATGTATATGTATATGTATATGTATATGTATATGTATATGTATATGTATATGTATATGTATATGTATATGTATATGTATATGTATATGTATATGTATATGTATATGTATATGTATATGTATATGTATATGTATATGTATATGTATATGTATATGTATATGTATATGTATATGTATATGTATATGTATATGTATATGTATATGTATATGTATATGTATATGTATATGTATATGTATATGTATATGTATATGTATATGTATATGTATATGTATATGTATATGTATATGTATATGTATATGTATATGTATATGTATATGTATATGTATATGTATATGTATATGTATATGTATATGTATATGTATATGTATATGTATATGTATATGTATATGTATATGTATATGTATATGTATATGTATATGTATATGTATATAAAACGTTTCGTTACGTCGTCGTCAGTGAACCAATTTTGTGCATCAAATATGCGCAGCGTACACTTGCATTTATACGATTTTCACCCAAGCGCAGATTCCAGACTCATTTTCCAGTGGCACTTTTTTAAATGGTAACATAGGTTAAGTTAATTTGGAAAGAACCGTTCGTACTACCATCACCGATGCGATTTCCTCCGGTGGGAATGGTTGTTTAATCACTAGTCGTCTGTGCAGTGAATGAAATAATCGTGTCCCTACTTTCTGCCCGTCCTTGATCAAGTTATTATTATTTGAGTTGGCGAAACTGTCATATTGGTGCTGAAATCATTTGGTACGATGACAACAAACCAATGCATTTATATTGTGTCCATCTCACCCCCCTCGACAGTCTGTTATATTTGACTGATTCGCTGATCTGTTATATTTGACCACTGTTACCACTCCAGTGCCTGGTTCAAGAAAAAAACTCACAGATAAGGAGCACAACAGCTTCATTGAAGTAAGCGAGTGCGTGCGAGTGTAAAAGTTACAACGGCCCCGCGCTATTTAAAGGGCACTTTTTGACATTGATCCAGGATGTCTGATAGGTGTTCAGTGAATACCCATCAACATCGATTGCTATGAAACAAAACATCTGAACGCTGATCACATTCGGTCGTGCTTCTGCGGCATGTCTGAACAATCATCGGCTTTTGCTGACCTGATTGAATGATTGATTAGCCTGGATGCTTGCCGGCTTCTCTATTGAGATGTTAGTTGGTTTCTAGGTTCTCAGTAGGTTTCGAGCTCTCTGGGGTTACGGTATTCTATGACAGTGTACTTTCTGTCGCAGTGATGATGGGAATCGCATGCTGTATGATTCAAGAAGTACATCATACTACGGAACATTAAACGATGGGTTGATATCAGTGAAAGTTGAGAAGCGGAGACCAGAACACATAGAAGAAGTCGTGATGGAAAAGAACGGTATCGGATTTGTTGTAGGAGTAAATAAAGTTCAGGGTTTAGAAAAGTGTACCCATAATCTCTCAGTTTAAGGTCATTGTGGTCACCATCTACAAGATAAAATTTATTTTTGGAGATATGTGCGTCCTACAACAACTGACAGCATTTTTCTATTCATTATGTGAAAATTTAGATTTCTGCGTCTACAGCCAATGAATAAAGGGTTGGATGAACTTCAAATGCCACAGAGACTAGAATGCTTTACTCTGGATATATAGAATATAGATTACTTGAGAGGGCTATTCCTTGTGCACATCACAATATACCATAATACGTCTTAATATACATAAAAGTTTATAAGTTGAAAACAAACAAGCTTACTCGGATGACACCTATCACTGTCCACTCCTTGTGGCGATGAGAAAGCAGATGCCGAATTCCGGGTCGAAGTCATGTCCATCGTTTGGTAAGGAATGGTAGTTCGATTCCAGACTGTTGTACCTTCAGATCTCCTTAGTTCTGGATAATCTACGACACTTTGAGAACTGTTGGAGAAGTAGGAAATTGTGTGCCCACAAGAGCGTGAAAGGGCCTTTGCAGTAAAGTTTGCGTTTCGGCTTGCTGGTGATGATGGCGGTAATTTC